AGGGGCATAAGGTGAAAGAAATTCTGCCCATTGTTTCTCGCCGGCGCCCAGGATCGAACCCGGGACCACAGGATCACAAGTCCAGCGTGCTGTCCGCTCGGCTCCTCCACCACCATCATTCTCTAATATATCTCATACCACATTTTCACTAAAACAAAATTTTTTTTTTTACGAATGAACCATTTTGATACTTGGACGGACCATTTGGAACTAACGTTCAACCAACATAAATCATGGAACAGTCCAGTTAAAAATATTTAAAGATTTGCATCAGTACTCCTGTCTGCCCTTTACATCTCAAACCTTATTTGCATCCTTATTCCTCCATAACTTCCATATTACTAACTTACCAATGATGTGCACCTTGAGCCGCGATGGAGACTGGTCCATGCCTGTACAACACCTGTACAACACCTGCGCTACACCTGGACACAGTCTACAGACTCATTATACACATGCTTACCATGTAAACAAAAATCTATGATGTAGACCGCACGCTTTGACGCAGAACGCGCACCATGACGTGACTCACGCACACCACCTTTACGCCTCTTCCAACACCTGTCATGTTGTACAACATTCTACATCATTACACACTCTTACAACCTAGAACACGCACTGGGACGCTCCTGAGACCCATCCCGTGCGCTCTGACGTACACCGAGCGCAGCCCCTGGCCACGTGGGGCCACGGGTCAGCCAGCTGTGACCATGTGCTCGCCCATCGTCATAAATTCCCCTACTACCTAGCTCATCATGGCCCACCGCCCTGTGCAGACGAGGAGTCACAATAACGTGGCTGAAATATGTTGACCAAACCACACACTAGAAAGTGAAGGGACGACGACGTTTCGGTCTGTCCTAGACCATTCTCAAGTCATCAATTGTCATCCACAATCGACTTGAGATTAGATTATGCTCTCCTGCTGAATGCACAGGACACGGATGCCAGTACACACATTGTGCACAGTTTATGTAGTGACCATTGGGCACTGATTACCACCGTCGACATGAGCAAGAGAAGGAAAGAGACAAATAAAAGAAAAAGGTTATCACTCGGACCAGATATGAGGCCGCACTTCATAAACAGGATGAGTGACTGGTTCACGGAATACCAAATCCCAGAAGACATTAACACATTTGTTGATGACCTTAACCACCACATTGAGAGCTGTCTAAGAGTTCCGCGCCGTACGCCTGGGCGAAGTAACCCTCAGAGGAAGAAAATAAAATGGTATGAGAATGATTACATAAAGATGCTTAACGCAAATGTGCGAGACATGAGTAGAGAGTACCGGAGACATCCCACTGAAAGTAACCAAGAGTTGTTTAAAACTGTGTGTCAAGTAGCCAGGGAAGAGAAGATTAAGAGCGGGAAAGACAATGGCTTGAGTTCACTAGCTCTATTGGACGGGAAACATCTGCAAGACAAGTGTGGGCAAAAATTCAGATAGCTAAGGGGGGCAGAGCCCGGCCTGCGGCTCACAAAGACCCCCAGGGTAAGGCTGAGGAACTAATTCACAAGTGGAGTGATGCAGCATCCTCCTCCTCCCTCCCTGCAGAAATCAGCAGGGAACAGCTCCTGCGACATGATGACAGAAGAATTAGGATAACAAGAGCACTGTCTAGTGATGACGAATATGGGGAACCAATCACAGCCCAAGAAGTAAGGGGCGCTATGAAAAAGGGTAAAAGTACAGCACCTGGTGAAGATGGCGTCACCTACGACATACTCAATGCACTGTGTGAAGTGTCTGGGAATCCACTACTCCACCTGTTTAACAAGTCATTCCTAAGTGGAGTGTTGCCCACACAATGGAAACACGCAATAATTATTCCCATACCGAAGCCTAATTACCCTGGTAATTACAGACCTATCAGCCTCGTGTCATGCACTTGCAAGATGCTTGAAAGGATCATCCTAAACCGACTGTTGCACAAAATAGGCAGGTTAGGGGAGGGGTCAATGGATTTGTTAAAGGACGGAGCACAGCAAATTGTATAGTTAATTACTTGGCTAATGACACGGCTAGGTACTCTGTATTTGTTGACATCAAAGGAGCCTTCGACAAAGCACAGGGGATTGCGATCCTGGACGAGCTTGCATGCATGGGTGTCAAGGGGAGACTCATGAAATGGGTTGAAGACTACCTCACAGGAAGGAAAGCCAAGGTTTGCTTCAATGGAGCAGTCTCCAGAACAATGAATATGGAACTCGGGACCCCCCAAGGCGGAGTCTTAAGCCCTACACTATTCAGTGTACTTATGAACGCCATTGCAAATATTGATTTTCCGGAAGGAACACAACAAGTGGGATATGCAGATGATGTCCTAATACAAGCTCCCACCTTGGGAAAAATTGAACAGTCCATTGAACTCCTCGGAAGGAAATGTATTGAGCTCGGTTTCACTCTCTCCACAAACAAGACGAAGGCATACTCCCATCACAAGCGGAGAGCAAATGAAGAACTGCAAATTAATGGTGTAACACTTGAATGGGTTGACCACTATCGGTACCTTGGCGTCACTGTCGGCTCTAACAAGGGAAAGAAAGAGGAGCTCAACCAACTCATAGGAACATGCAAAAGTCGACTCAGGGCACTGAAAGCTATGACCTGGAATGGACATGGAGCCTCTATTGCCGTGCTCAAAATGATGTACACAGCCTATGTGCGCTCCGTCATAGACTATGCCGCACCAGTACTGTGCACCTACTCCCAAAGCGATATGAAAAGGCTTGAAAGCATTCAAAATGAAGCCATGACAATCATTCTTGGAGTCCCAAGAACTGCCAAAACGTCTAATCTACGAGAGGAGTTGTCCCTTCCCAGTATTAAAAGCAGAATTCAGGAGCTGAATGCTAAGCTTGCAATTAAGATAGCCAGAGATCCCCATTACAATGATATTGCCAAGAAAAAACTGAGCTCTGTGCTACTTTCAGGGGAAACAGGAGAAGCAAAAAATGGCATCACAGAGCAGTCTGCTACCTTGAAGAGCTTCACCTGCTTGAGCAAGCCCGTGAGCTCCTGCCTGTAGAGAGGTTACCTCCCTGGGAGGATGACTCGTGCAAGATCATCATCAATGAAATGGCAATGAAAAAATCCAACATGATACCACAAGAAATGAGGCACAAGTATCTCGAGGACATTTATAAAGAAGCCGGAGATGAATTAGATCAAATCTACACTGACGGGTCATCTAATCCTATCAATGGCAGGGCTGGTGCAGCATACACGGTAATCAAGGATAATACTTTCCAACGCAGAAATGAAGACAAAGCACGTATTGAGAACTATGCCTCTTCAACGCAAGCAGAGCTAACTGCCATTGTTATGACGTTAAGGTTTCTTGAACGGAACACTAATGGTGCAGTGATTTGCACCGATTCAAAAGCAGCACTGCAAAGCCTAAGTAAAAATCAGACAGAAAATCTTGCAATAGTCGCTGAAACCAAGAGAGCTGTGAGAGTACTTACCAACCAGGGAAGAGTCATCAAGTTTCTGTGGATCCCCTCCCATGTTGGAATATGTGGGAATGAACGAGCAGATGTGCTGGCTGCTGAAGGCGCTGAAGGAGACCATATTGAATACTTCATACCCAAGACTCAACTACAAATTAGAGGTATTATCAGGCAACATCACCGTGACAAGGTAACTGAGGAAAGGAGGATAGAAGCACAAACCAGTGAATCTGTACGATGGTACAACATGGTTGCAGCTGGCAATCCCAATCAGTATGGCCGAAGAGGAGGACGACGAGGGAGAGAATCTGTAATAGCGAGAATCCGTCTTGGATACAAATATCCATGGAGATTTGGAATGGAAACAACAGTTGATCAGCGAAGTTGCAGCATCTGTGGTGAGAGTGATGGACACCGCCTTGACCACTATCTACGTGAATGTGAACACCTGAGAGATATTAGGAATAACTGTAGAATAATAAACCCCACATTGTTTGAGTTAGGAAAACACTTTTTGTCAAATGTTGATACTGTTCTTAAAAGATTTCCCAATTTTGCACCCGCAAGATAACGTAAGCTTTTAAGGGTTGATAAATGTTAATCTTCTTGTTTGAGGAGCTGTTCACTTGAGACAGTTAAGCAAGTCCCAGCTGTGTCTGGGTACAAGTGACAGGATGAACAACCCAGCGGGTTTTCTTCCTATTGGGGAGTGTTGTACATTCTGCTATGGCGGTATGTTCACTCACAAGATGAGTGGCGCTGCCCAATAAACTCGCCCCTCGGGGCAAAATTAAATTAAAATTAAATCGACTTGAGAATGGTCCTGGACGGCCCGCCCGAAACGTCGTCGTCCCTTCACTTTCTAGTGTGTGGTTTGGTCAACTTACCACCCTGGCCTAGGTCATCATGGCCTTGCATTTATTTGCCTGAGTTTACCTGAGGGACCACTGTCTCTCTAGTGACCTTGCGGGGGACAGAAAGCCAGCAGTTTGTCCAAGATTCCATCTCCCCCTCCCTCCACACTCAATTTTTCTTGCTTTGTCTGGGTAACACAGTCAAAGTTCGTTCTCGACTCCCAATGGGAAATTCCGGATTCGAATCCCGTGTGGGACAGAGACGGTTGGGCTCGTTTACTGCCACCTAATGCACCTGTTCACCTAGCAGTGAATATGTACTTACCTAATGTAGCACAAATATGCAGAAAAATTAGGCCTACTTTTCTTCCATTTGTGAGGCTCTTGGAGGTCGAACTTCATTTTCTATGACTGTTTACATAAATGTTTATAGAAGAAAATGGTCTCAATTTTCTATGACTGTTTACATAAATGTTTATAGAAGAAAATGGTCTCAATTTTCTATGACTGTTTACATAAATGTTTATAGAAGAAAATGGTCTCAATTTTCTATGACTGCTTACATGAATGTTTATTGAAGAAAATGGTCTCCCATTGAACCCATTGTCTTCACCCATGTATTTGTATGTATTCCTGTGTATTCATATGTAATCCTATGTGTGTTGATGGGTGTCCCTCGACCCACAGAAGATGCTGCGGGCGCTGGTGGTGCTAGCGGGCGTCGGGTGGGCGTGGGCGGCCCTGATGGAGACGAGGGCGTCGGTGCCCCTGGCCGAGGGCGTCATGTCGGACCAGCATATAGACCACAACCTGCCCAACCTCCCCCTCGGCAACCCTGACACGGTGAGGCCTTCTTCTTAGGCTTCCAGCACCCTGGGAGGCTTCCAGCACCCTGGGGGCTTCCAGGACCCTGGGGGCTTCCAGGACCCTGGGGCTTCCACGATACTGGGAGGCTTCCTGCAGGACCCTGGGAGGCTTCCTGCAGGACCCTGGGAGGCTTCCTGCAGGACCCTGGGAGGCTTCCTGCAGGACCCTGGAGACTTCTTGCAGAACCCTAGAGACTTCCAGGACGCTGGGGGGCTTCCAGGATCCTGGGAGGCTTCCAGCACTCTGGGGGCTTCCAGAATCCTGGGAGGTTTCCTGCAGGACCCTGGAAGCTTCCAGGACCCTGGGGGGCTTCTAGGACTCTGTGAGGCTTCCTGCAGGACCCTGGAGGCTTCCAGGACCCTGGGGGCTTCCAGGATCCTGGGAGCCTTTCAGTATTATATCAGTCATGTATATTATCAGTATTATCTCAGATAGCTTGTTGATAAATATGAACTTTTTAGGTAAATTAGTCAATATTTTCTTAAAGCAATAATGCAAGAGTTGTGTATTGTGCCAATTAGTTAGCTGAACCAAGACCTCGACGTCTCAACACAAGCTAGCTCACTTGAGGATTAAATGGGTTAAATTTGTTGTTGAATATTATCTTCTTCGTTGATTATTTTAGTGAAGTTATGTGTTGTGTCAATCAAGCAATCAAGGTGCTATATGTTTAGTCAGCCAACCAGCCGTTGCACTCAACCCAGCAACAAGTTAACTAAACTGTAATTAATAACCCGGTCAACTATACAGAAAATAGAAATAGAAGCCTACCGCAATGACCTACTCAGTCATTTACAATTTACGCCTTTTAAATTGTCAATTTCTTTCTTGTCCAACAGATGGAGCACGATATGCCTGGCAATCCCCTGAGCCCTGATGACTTCCGCGAGGGCAAGGAGATGGGTGGGTGAGAGAGAGAGAGAGAGAGAGAGAGAGAGAGAGAGAGAGAGAGAGAGAGAGAGAGAGAGAGAGAGAGAGAGAGAGAGAGAGAGAGAGAGAGAGAGAGAGAGAGAGAGAGAGAGAGAGAGAGAGAGAGAGAGAGAGAGAGAGAGAGAGAGAGAGAGAGAGAGAGAGAGAGAGAGAGAGAGAGAGAGAGAGAGAGAGAGAGATAGAGAGAGCGAGAGAGAGAGAGAGAGAGAGAGAGAGAGAGAGAGAGAGAGAGAGAGAGAGAGAGAGAGAGAGAGAGAGAGAGAGAGAGAGAGAGAGAGAGCATTAATCCCTTTTTCATTGCTCACGACCCAATTACGTTAACTCAAATAGGGTTATAACCATTAAAATATACTTAACATATTTGTGTTAATTGGGTATAAGCAACACCCACGGGCTATACCATATTTCTGGTCTGTAATGTTGAGGCCAAAATATGTTGAAGACTTTGTTTAACACCTCAACACCAGACCTTAGTGTGACCCTGACCTTAGCGTGATCCTGACCTTAGTGTAACCTTAGTGTGACCCTGACCTTAGTGTGACCCTGACCTTAGTGTGACCCTGACCTTAGTGTAACCCTGACCTTAGTGTGACCCTGACCTTAGTGTGACCCTGACCTTAGTGTGAAATTAGTGTAACCCTGACCCTTGTGTGACCCTGACCTTAGTGTAACCCTGACCTTAGTGTGAAATTAGTGTAACCCTGACCCTAGTGTGACCCTGACCTTAGTGTAACCTTGACCTTAGTGTGACCTTAGTGTAACCCTGGCCTTAGTTAGACCTTAGTGTGACCCTGACCTTAGTGTGACCCTGACCTTAGTGTAACCCTGACCTTAGTGTGACACTGACCTTAGTGTGACACTGACCTTAGTGTGAAATTAGTGTAACCCTGACTTTAGTGTAACCCTGACCTTAGTGTGACCCTGACCTTAGTGTGACCCTGACCTTAGTGTAACCTTAGTGTAACCCTGACTTTAGTGTGACCATGACCTTAGTGTGACCCTGACCTTAGTGTGACCCTGACCTTAGTGTGACCTTAGTGTAACCCTGACCTTAGTGTGACCCTGACCTTAGTGTAACCCTGACCCTAGTGTGACCCTGACCTTAGTGTGACACTGACCTTAGTGTGACACTGACCTTAGTGTGAAATTAGTGTAACCCTGACCTTAGTGTTACCCTGACCTTAGTGTAACCCTGACCTTAGTGTAACCCTGACCTTAGTGTGACCCTGACCTTAGTGTAACCCTGACCTTAGTGTGACCCTGATCTTAGTGTGACCCTGACCTTTGTGTGACCCTGACCTTAGTGTAACTCTGACCTTAGTGTAACCCTGACCTTAGTGTGAAATTAGTGTAACCCTGACCTTAGTGTGACCCTGACCTTAGTGTAACCTTAGTGTAACCCTGACCTTAGTGTGACCCTGACCTTAGTGTAACCCTGACCGTAGTGTGACCTTAGTGTAACCCTGACCTTAGTGTAACCTTAGTGTAACCCTGACCTTAGTGTAACCCTGACCTTAGTGTGACCCTGACCTTAGTGTAACCCTGACCGTAGTGTGACCTTAGTGTGACCCTGACCTTAGTGTAACCCTGACCTTAGTGTGACCTTAGTTTGACCCTGACCTTAGTGTGACCCTGACCTTAGTGTAACCCTGACCTTAGTGTAACCCTGACCTTAGTGTGACCCTGACCTTAGTGTGACCTTAGTTTGGCCCTGACCTTAGTGTGACCTTAGTTTGGCCCTGACCTTAGTGTGACCCTGACCTTAGTGTAACCCTGACCTTAGTGTGACCCTGACCTTAGTGTAACCCTGACCTAAGTGTGACCCTGACCTTAGTGTGACCTTAGTGTAACCTTAGTTTGACCCTGACCTTAGTGTAACCCTGACCTTAGTGTGACCCTGACCTTAGTGTGACCCTGACCTTAGTGTAACCCTGACCTTAGTGTAACCCTGACCTTAGTGTGACCTTAGTGTAACCCTGACCTTAGTGTGACCCCTGACCTTAGTGTAACCCTGACCTTAGTGTAACCCTGACCTTAGTGTGACCCTGACCTTAGTGTAACCCTGACCTTAGTGTGACCCTGATCTTAGTGTGACCCTGACCTTAGTGTGACCTTAGTGTAACCCTGACCTTAGTGTGACCCCTGACCTTAGTGTAACCCTGACCTTAGTGTAACCCTGACCTTAGTGTGACACTGACCTTTGTGTGATCCTGACCTTAGTGTGACACTGACCTTAGTGTGACTCAGAGGTCATACTCAGAGTCCACACTCAAGAGTATACCCCGAGTCTTTGATATCCTTACAGTCTGTGGTTCTAATCCTCACAAATCTCGTGATATCAAGCGATGTCTCCTGACATCGCTGCCCCTGTGAACATCACACTAAGGAGATATATCTCGCTGATACACATCCTGGTAGTCTCTGACGTTGGTGCGTACAGTGGATATATGACCCATGTTATGCCTTCACCACCCAGGTGCCTGGGGGTCATACTTAAAGCTTGGACTGGCTTCAGGAGCAGCCTTCGGTTGATTAACTTTTAGCGAGTCAGTGGCGAGTCAGTCGCTGCTTCGAGTCACCTCAGAGCTTCTGTGGATTATCACATCTCGGGACGTCTCATGACTTCACGTGACGTCTCATGACTTCACGTGACGTCTCATGACTTCACGTGTCGTCTCATGACTTCACGTGACGTCTCATGACTTCACGTGACGTCTCATGACTTCACGTGACGTCTCATGACTTCACGTGACGTCTCATGACTTCACGTGACGTCTCATGACTTCACGTGCCGTCTCATGACTTTACGTGACGTCTCATGACTTCACGTGACGTCTCATGACTTCACGTGACGTCTCATGACTTGACGTGACGTCTCATGACTTCACGTGACGTCTCATGACTTGACGTGACGTCTCATGACTTGACGTGACGTCTCATGACTTCACGTGACGTCTCATGACTTCACGTGACGTCTCAAGACTTCACGTGACGTCTCATAACTTCACGTGACGTCTCAAGACTTCACGTGACGTCTCATGACATCACGTGACGTCTGATGACATCACGTGAGGTCTAATGACATCACGCGAGGTGTAGTGAGGTCTGGTGACATCACGCGAGGTGTAGTGAGGTCTGGTGACATCACGTGAGGTGTAGTGACGTCTGGTGACCGTCCACAGAGCACAAGGACTGGGACCCTACCACCAACGCCGACCCCATTGAGCTGGCCGGACTCTTCCAGGGTGATATTATCATCATGACGTCTGCTGAGTACGACGACCTGGCCATGGTGAGTATACCGTATACATGGTGAGTATACTGTATACTTGGTGAGTAGTATATATGAGTTACGTATACATGTATTTGGAAAGTTATGTATACACAGTGAGCAGTTACGCATACATGTCTTAGGCAGTGGTAAGTAGTTAAGTATTATGTATGTTTATGACTAAAGTTGTTTTGTATATTTTGTTAAGTATATGGTAGACTAACATAGTCTACCTCCCCACAGCCGGCAGGGGCCCCCAAGGGTAGGTACACTGAGGTAAACTAATATACTCTACCTCCCCACAGCCGGCAGGGGCCCCCTTGGCGAGGAACGCGATCAACACCTTAGATAAGCGCTGGCCCAATGGTGTAATTCCCTACGTCATCTCTTCCTCCTACAGTAAGTACTGGAGAGAGAGAGAGAGAGAGAGAGAGAGAGAGAGAGAGAGAGAGAGAGAGAGAGAGAGAGAGAGAGAGAGAGAGAGAGAGAGAGAGAGAGAGAGAGAGAGAGAGAGAGAGGGAGAGAGAGAGAGAGTGAGAGAGAGAGGGAGAGAGAGAGAGAGTGAGAGAGAGAGTGAGAGAGTGAGAGAGAGTGAGAGAGTGAGAGAGAGAGAGAGAGAGAGAGAGAGAGAGAGAGAGAGAGAGCGTGACTTAGTTCACAGCAGACCTCTGGGATATGTTGGTTCACTACACTGGCTATCCCGACAGATCGAGGCGAAGAATCTGTTCGAACTACCTGGCTTTGGGACAACTGGCCAGCCCTCCACTCAGAGCTTGAACCAACTGATTGGAATGCCTTGCTCGAGGGGGGGACGTGAACAGCCAAGTAAACGCCTTCACCAGTCGTATACTGGTCCTGCAGCATAGGTATATCACTCAGCGGCAGCATGTGACCAAGCCCACTGGTTTGGATATTGCTGCCATCCCAAACGGAACGGATGGCAGCTGAAGCCATAAACAAGACCTGGAGGAGACTTTAAAGACATCCCTCGCTTCATAACAAACATTCATAGATAATCTTGTCGAATAATGAAAAATTAAAATGTGGGCTTCAATTCCCAGATGGGAATCCGAAACACGAAGGAAACTTGCATTTGGTAGGGTTGGATCCAAGGTCTGGTGGTCCCTGGTGAAGGATCGACAAGGACACTCATCTGAGGACACAGTCCCGCCTCTAAACATAGAGGATGGTACTGTGGCAACCAGCCATCAGGAGAAGGCTGATCTACTGGCAAACGACATTGCTGCCAAGATGCAGGTCCCCGATCCTGAACGTCAGCTTCCACTTCTTGCCCCAAGCACTGAGTCTAGGATGACTCACGTGGTTATACAGCAGGCTGTCGTTCACAGTTCCCAAGAGTTCACAGATGAAATTGGTATGTTGGGAAGTAAGTAATTATCAAAACAAGGCACCAAACCAGGAAGGCTATGTAGCACCATCAAAGTGCGAAATAATCAGAGGGCGCTAAATATCACCAAGGATGGCAATACGAGAACAGAAACGTATAAGGCGAATGATACCAAAAGTATCCGAATCACCAAGAATTCCATCGAAGGGATAAGTGACCGTGAGGGACGGTCGGAAAGCAAGACACACGCTCGTCCTGGAAGTCAGGACATTCAACAAGGACATGCACGACTGTAAGAGGGACAACGCAATTTGGACAATAAGGAGCAGGGCGGCGCTCCATTAAGTGACCGTGAGTTAAGCGAGTATGGCCAATCCGCAACCTTGCTAGAGCAGTTTCCGACTGCCAGTTACGGTGGTAGGAGGACGGCCACGGGGACACACTACGTTTAAGAGTGCGCAGCTTGTTACCAACTACAGACGACCAACAACTCTGCCAACGGGCAAGGATGGAGGAATAAATAACAGGATAAAAGTCGGAATAAGGAATACCTTAATGGGAGATGGGACAAGAACGGACAGCTTCCCTAGCAGCAGTGTCCGCACGCTCATTTAAAGAAACACCAATATGGCTGGGAACCCAGCAAAACTCTACCGATTTAAATTTACTAGAAATAAGAAACATCCAATGTTGAATCTCGATGACCACCGGATGGACAGGATTAAAGGACCCTAGAGCCACGAGGGCACTACGAGAGTCAACTACAACCACAAAGGAGGATCGACGATGAGAAAGCAAGAGATGGAGAGCATAGAGAATAGCATAAAGTTCTACTGTGAAGACGCTAGCCTCCGAAGGGAGGCGACACATGTAAGTGCGGTCAGGAAAAAACAACAGAGTAGCCCACACCGTCCGCAGACTTAGACCCATCGGTGAAGATGGAAACAGAGTGAGCGAGATTCAAGAAGAGGCTTACGAAGAAGGAAGGATTGGGGAAGATGAGAACCAGAACTAACAGATGAAAAGTGGGAACCCAGTTCGGTCGCAACCTGCAACTGGTCCGCCACAAGAGCACCACGTAGGCGAAGGACCGGCGAGACATCGGAAACAAACTTACCCACTATTTTGCATATAAACCGGTGGCAGAGGAGTTTCGGACGTAACGGTGGAGACATAAGTCATCCAGCACGCACGTTTAGCTGTACGGATGGTCCTACGGGCCACCGCACTTGCCTTCCAAAACAGAAGAAAAGACTCAACCGTCTGCCAGCGGCGATGCCTCTTCCAGGCTGCACGCTTACAGCGGACAGCCCGAGCACAATGCACATTCCACCAGGGAACGCACTTCCGCATGCTCCGAAGGGAAGAGCGAGGAATAGAGCGGAGGGCAGGGTCAAAGACAGTGTCACGAAAAAGAAGGAGGGCACGAGGGAGAGGCAGAACGGAGAGGTCGGAAATAGTAGCACGGAGAGTAAAGAGGCGCCAGTCAGCCTCGGCAAACCGCCACCTAGGGAAGGAGAGGGAAGGGTGAAAAGAGAAGAAGGTAACAAGGATAAGAAAATGGTCACTGCCATGGAGGTCATCAAGGACCCGCCACCCGAAATCTAAGGAAAGGGATGACGAGCACAGAGAAAGATCGAGACAGGAAAGGGAGCGAGTCCGAGAGTCCAAATGAGTGGGCTCACCAGAATTAAGAAGAGACAGGGAAGAAGAGAGGATGAAAGGTTCAAGGAGGCGACCCCGGGTGTTTGTCAGCGCATCACCCCAAAGGGCATGACGACAATTGAAATCACCTGGCATGTTGGGAAGGACGTTCGACTCTTCAATGACAATGAAGAGGCATGTGCTTGACCTAGCCCACAAGGCAGCCAGGAAACTTACAGCTCTGGGGTGCTTCTCACATCTTTTTGACAGCAAGGGCTGCAAAACCTTATATGAAGCACAAGTTCGCTTCCATCTAGAGTATGCACCCCTTTCCTGGATCGCCTCCCCCTGCCCTATCATTCGTCAGACTGTTGTTCAAAGTGGAGAGACAGGCAAGAAGGCTTATCTCTAGTCTTGACCAAGTCTGGTGGGAACGGTCTGAACATCAGAACCTGCAACACCGTCGTGACGGTGGTCTTACTGTTACGTTCAAGGCCAACTTCCTCAAAGTTCCGCACCTGGCCCAGCTCCGTGGACTACCAGCAGTTGCCACCCGTAGCACTAGGTTCTCAACCTTCAACAGTCTCATGCTGGAAGTGCCATTCTCAAGAATATCACTCCAGCAGCGATCATTCACTCCGAGGCTGACTCACATCTGGAACTTGTTCGCTCAACAGGTTGATACACGGAAGATCAGGTCAACTGACCACATGAAGACTCTGGCACACAGTTGGCTACAAGCTCATCCTGTTCCTAATATCCTGTTACCTAATGTTGTTAATGAATAAAGGGTATTCCTACTGATGCATATAACAGGCTCATAAAATAAATGGGTCTCTAGGAGTTGGTTTCAACTTAGCCGAGGTAGGATTACAGCTCTTGCTTGCAGTTTCACCAGGTTTCTTGTATGATAGGGAACTATGTGATACTTTCAAAGTACATTCTCACGAAATTAATTTCTAGTAGCAGGCATCAGATGAGCTGAAGTAGGATAACAGCTCTTGCTTGCAGTTTCACTAAGTATGTCATTTGACAGCCCTTATGAACCCTAGTCTTAGTTAAAAAATAGAGAGCGAGAGAGGAGAGAAGTAGAGAGAACCATTATTATCATCTACCCACCTACCACAACTACCACCACTACCACCTCCACTATCACAACAACCACCACCACCTCCGCCACAACTACCACCACTACCACCACCACCACTACCACCACTACCACCACTACTACCACCACCACAACTACCACCACTACTACCACCACTACCACTACCACCACTACCACCACTACCACCACTACTACCACCACCACCACTACCACCACTACCACCACTGCCCTACCCACAGACAAGCAGGAGCGGGCCACCATAGCCATGGCGGTCAGCAAGTACCACTCCAACACCTGCATCCGGTTCGTGCCCCGGACGGTGGAGCGGGACTACATCCACATCATCAAGGGTGACGGGTGAGTCTGTCTGTGGTGGTATATTAGGGGGTGACGGGTGAGTCTGTCTGTGGCGGTATATTAGGGGGTGACGGGTGAGTCTGTCTGTGGTGGTATATTAGGGGGTGACGGGTGAGTCTGTCTGTGGTGGTATATTAGGGGGTGACGGGTGAGTCTGTCTGTGGTGGTATATTAGGGGGTGACGGGTGAGTCTGTCTGTGGTGGTATATTAGGGGGTGACGGGTGAGTCTGTCTGTGGTGGTATATTAGGGGGTGACGGGTGAGTCTGTCTGTGGTGGTATATTAGGGGGTGACGGGTGAGTCTGTCTGTGGTGGTATATTAGGGGGTGACGGGTGAGTCTGTCTGTGGTGGTATATTAGGGGGTGACGGGTGAGTCTGTCTGTGGCGGTATATTAGGGGGGTGACGGGTGAGTCTGTCTGTGGCGGTATATTAGGGGGGTGACGGGTGAGTCTGTCTGTGGCGGTATATTAAGGGGTGACGGGTGAGTCTGTCTGTGGTGGTATATTAGGGGGGTGACGGGTGAGTCTGTCTGTGGTGGTATATTAGGGGGTGACGGGTGAGTCTGTCTGTGGTGGTATATTAGGGGGTGACGGGTGAGTCTGTCTGTGGTGGTATATTAGGGGGTGACGGGTGAGTCTGTCTGTGGTGGTATATTAGGGGGTGACGGGTGAGTCTGTCTGTGGTGGTATATTAGGGGGTGACGGGTGAGTCTGTCTGTGGCGGTATATTAGGGGGTGACGGGTGAGTGTCTGTGTCGGTATATTATGGAGTGACGGGTGAGTCTGTCTGTGGTATATTAGGGGGTGACGGGTGAGTCTGTCTGTGGTGGTATATTAGGGGCTGACGGGTGAGTGTCAACCATCCCTCCTGCTCCTCCACAGGTGTTCAACCATCCCTCCTGCTCCTCCACAGGTGTTCAACCATCCCTCCTGCTCCTCCACAGGTGTTCAACCATCACTCCTGCTCCCCCACAGGTGTTCAACCTTCCCTCCTGCTCCCCCACAGGTGTTCAACCTTCCCTCCTGCTCCCCCACAGGTGTTCAACCTTCCCTCCTGCTCCCCCACAGGTGTTCAACCTTCCCTCCTGCTCCCCCACAGGTGTTCAACCTTCCCTCCTGCTCCCCCACAGGTGTTCAACCTTCCCACCTGCTCCCCCACAGGTGTTCAACCTTCCCTCCTGCTCCCCCACAGGTGTTCAACCTTCCCTCCTGCTCCCCCACAGGTGTTCAACCATCCCTCCTGCTCCCCCACAGGTGTTCAACCATCCCTCCTGCTCCCCCACAGGTGTTCAACCTTCCCTCCTGCTCCCCCACAGGTGTTCAACCATCCCTCCTGCTCCCCCACAGGTGTTCCAGCTCGGTGGGCCGTCACTCGGGGGCCCAGGCGGTGTCCCTGGGGCCCGGGTGCCTGTACGTGGGCATAGTGATGCACGAGCTGATGCACGCCGCGGGGTTCTGGCACGAACAGTCCCGCTGGGACCGAGACAACCACATCACCATCAACACCTTCAACATCCAGGCCGGCATGGAGTACAACTTCGAGAAGTACTCCTGGGAGCGTATTCAGAGCCTGGGGGTCAGCTATGACCTGGGTGAGTGTACCTGGGGGTCAGCTATGACCTGGGTGAGTGTACCTGGGGTGTGTGTGTACCTGGGGGTCAGCTATGACCTGGGTGAGTGTACCTGGGGTGTGTGTGTACCTGGGGGTCAGCTATGACCTGGGTGAGTGTACCTGGGGGTCAGCTATGACCTGGGTGAGTGTACCTGGGGTGTGTGTGTACCTGGGGGTCAGCTATGATCTGGGTGAGTGTACCTGGGGTGTGTGTGTACCTGGGGGTCAGCTATGACCTGGGTGAGTGTACCTGGGGGTCAGCTATGACCTGGGTGAGTGTACCTGGGGGTCAGCTATGACCTGGGTGAGTGTACCTGGGGGTCAGCTATGACCTGGGTGAGTGTACCTGGGGTGTGTGTGTACCTGGGGGTCAGCTATGACCTGGGTGAGTGTACCTGGGGGTCAGCTATGACCTGGGTGAGTGTTCCTGGGGGTGAGTGTGTACATGGGGGTCAGCTATGATCTGGGTGAGTGTACCTGGGGGTCAGCTATGACCTGGGTGAGTGTACCTGGGGTGTGTGTGTACCTGGGGGTCAGCTATGACCTGGGTGAGTGTACCTGGGGTGAGTGTGTACCTGGGGGTCAGCTATGACCTGGGGGTCAGCTATGACCTGGGTGAGTGTACCTGGGGGTCAGCTATGACCTGGGTGAGTGTATCTGGGGGTCAGCTATGACCTGGGTGAGTGTACCTGGGGGTCAGCTATGTCCTGGGTGAGTGTACCTGGGGTGTGTGTGTACCTGGGGGTCAGCTATGATCTGGGTGAGTGTACCTGGGGGTCAGCTATGACCTGGGTGAGTGTACCTGGGGGTCAGCTATGATCTGGGTGAGTGTACCTGGGGGTCAGCTATGATCTGGGTGAGTGTACCTGGGGGTCAGCTATGACCTGGGTGAGTGTACCTGGGGGTCAGCTATGATCTGGGTGAGTGTACCTGGGGGTCAGCTATGACCTGGGTGAGTGTACCTGGGGGTCAGCTATGACCTGGGTGAGTGTACCTGGGGGTCAGCTATGACCTGGGTGAGTGTACCTGGGGTGTGAGTGTACCTGGGGGTCAGCTATGATCTGGGTGAGTGTACCTGGGGGTCAGCTATGACCTGGGTGAGTGTACCTGGGGGTCAGCTATGATCTGGGTGAGTGTACCTGGGGGTCAGCTATGACCTGGGTGAGTGTACCTGGGGGTCAGCTATGACCTGGGTGAGTGTACCTGGGGTGTGTGTGTACCTGGGGGTCAGCTATGATCTGGGTGAGTGTACCTGGGGTGTGTGTGTACCTGGGGGTCAGCTATGATCTGGGTGAGTGTACCTGGGGTGTGTGTGTACCTGGGGGTCAGCTATGATCTGGGTGAGTGTACCTGGGGGTCAGCTATGACCTGGGGTGTGTGTGTACCTGGGGGTCAGCTATGATCTGGGTGAGTGTACCTGGGGTGTGAGTGTACCTAGGGGTCAGCTATGATCTGGGTGAGTGTACCTGGGGGTCAGCTATGATCTGGGTGAGTGTACCTGGGGTGTGTGTGTACCTGGGGGTCAGCTATGACCTGGGTGAGTGTACCTGGGGTGTGAGTGTACCTGGGGGTCAGCTATGACCTGGGTGAGTGTACCTGGGGGTCAGCTATGACCTGGGTGAGTGTACCTGGGGTGTGAGTGTACCTGGGGGTCAGCTATGACCTGGGTGAGTGTACCTGGGGTGTGAGTGTACCTGGGGGTCAGCTATGACCTTGGTGAGTGTACCTGGGGGGTCAGCTATGATCTGGGTGAGTGTACCTGGGGGTCAGCTATGATCTGGGTGAGTGTACCTGGGGTGTGTGTGTACCTAGGGGTAAGCTATGACCTGGGTGAGTGTACCTGTGGGTCAGCTATGACCTGGGTGAGTGTACCTGGGGGTCAGCTATGATCTGGGTGAGTGTACCTGGGGTGTGTGTGTACCTGGGGTCAGCTATGACCTGGGTGAATGTACCTGGGGGTCAGCTATGATCTGGGTGAGTGTACCTGGGGGTCAGCTATGATCTGGGTGAGTGTACCTGGGGGTCAGCTATGATCTGGGTGAGTGTACCTGGGGTGTGAGTGTACCTTGGGGTCAGCTATGATCTGGGTGAGTGTACCTGGGGGTCAGCTATGATCTGGGTGAGTGTACCTGGGGTGTGTGTGTACCTGGGGTCAGCTATGACCTGGGTGAGTGTACCTGGGGGTCAGCTATGACCTGGGTGAGTGTACCTGGGGGTCAGCTATGATCTGGGTGAGTGTACCTGGGGGTCAGCTATGATCTGGGTGAGTGTACCTGGGGTGTGTGTGTACCTGGGGGTCAGCTATGATCTGGGTGAGTGTACCTGGGGGTCAGCTATGATCTGGGTGAGTGTACCTGGGGTGTGTGTGTGTACCTGGGGGTCAGCTATGATCTAGGTGAGTGTACCTGGGGTGTGAGTACCTGGGGGTCAGCTATGATCTGGGTGAGTGTACCTGGGGTGTGTGTACTTGGGGATCAGCTATGATCTGGGTGAGTGTACCTGGGGGTCAGCTATGACCTGGGTGAGTGTACCTGGGGTCAGCTATGATCTGGGTGAGTGTACCTGGGGTGTGTGTACCTGGGGATCAGCTATGATCTGGGTGAGTGTACCTGGGGGTCAGCTATGATCTGGGTGAGTGTACCTGGGGGTCAGCAATGATCTAGGTGAGTGTACCTGGGGTGTGTCTTAGAGTGTGTGTGTGTGTGTGTGTGTGTGTGTGTGTGTGTGTGTCTCTGGGGTGTGTCTTAGAGTGTGTGTGTGTGTGTGTGTGTGTGTGTGTGTGTGTGTGTGTGTGTGTGTGTGTCTGGTGCGTGCGCGCGTGTGTGTGTGTGTCTGGTGCGTGCGCGCGCGCGTGTGTGTGTGTGTGTGTGTCTGTCTCTGAGGGTGCACTATAGACCCTAAACCTTCCAGGGTCCATCATGCACTATGGCCCCTACGCCTTCGCCAAGGAGCGGACGAAACCCACCATCATCCCGCGCCAGACCGGCCAGGAGATTGGTCAACGACGGGCCTTCTCCGAGGTAGGTCATGGGGGCCATGTAGTGGGCCACGGGTGTGGGGAGGGGCCACGGGTGTGGGGAGGGGCCACGGGTGTGGGGAGGGGCCACGGGGTCTGTTTCAATTTCAGGTGTAATTTGTTCTAATCAATTGTTCTAAGCACTGTTCCGCTCATCACGGTTGCGATGGTTGAGCGTGAGTGAGGTTAATGTTGTCGGTAGTATACTTTCAAGAACTGGCCAAGTTAAGCAATAGTGCAATGCTTAAGTAGTAGGGGGGGGGAATAAGCAAGACAAAAAAAATGCCTCTTTCACTCAGGTCACAACACAACCACAGTGTTCGTGAGGCCCAGTGAACCCACATTCCAGGTACACGTTGCCCACTGGCAGACACTGGCGAGTTCACCTTCTTCGTGGGCCCGTCCACCTACATAGTATCACGATGTGTCTACACCCCTATTCGCTCTCCAGCTACTCACGAGCAGAGGGCTTCAGAAACATGCTGGCAAGGGTCTAAAACAATCATACATAGGGGATACAACACGCTTCCGCTACACATAAGGGGCATAACTGGCCGACCCCCTCACAGTGTTCAGGAGAGAACTGGATAAGCACCTCCAAAGGATACCTGATCAACCAGGCTGTGACTCATACGTCAGGCTGCGAGCAGCCGCGTCCAACAGCCTGGTTGATCAGTCCGGCAACCAGGAGGCTTGGTCGACGACCGGGCCGCGGGGACACTAAGCCCCGGAAGCACCTCAAGGTAGGTAGGTAGCCTGGTAGAAGCCTCTTGCAGCCTGGTAGAAGCCTCTTGCAGCCTGGTAGAAGCCTCTAGCAGCCTGGTAGAAGCCTCTAGCAGCCTGGTAGAAGCCTCTAGTAGCCTGTAGAAGCCTCTAGCAGCCTGGTAGAAGCCTCTAGCAGCCTGGTAGAAGCCTCTAGTAGCCTGGTAGAAGCCTCTAGCAGCCTGGTAGAAGCCTCTAGCAGCCTGGTAGAAGCCTCTAGTAGCCTGGTAGAAGCCTCTAGCAGCCTGGTAGAAGCCTCTAGCAGCCTGGTAGAAGCCTCTAGCAGCCTGGTAGAAGCCTCTAGCAGCCTGGTAGAAGCCTCTAGCAGCCTGGTAGAAGCCTCTAGCAGCCTGGTAGAAGCCTCTAGCAGCCTGGTAGAAGTCCTTCACAACAGACACATCACTGTCTTCCTTAACTCTTACCGGTCAATCCCAGGTACGTCGGACCACGCAACACTACGTACATCAGCAGCTAACACACTGCTCTGTTCTGACGGTAGCCACTTAGTCTTCGCACAGGACAAAGTTAAGAGTTCGTAGACTGCCCAAGGCGAACTGCCTTCCTCGGTGCAATTGCCTCCATATGTCACGTCTGTGGACATAAAACGTCATTAATTAGATGAATGGTACACTGGGAGACTCTGGGATAACACTCATTGATAAGTGTTACACCGATAATACTTATCAATGATACACCAATGTCAAGTTCCCGGTGGGATAACACCGGGAACTTGACATTGTGACTTGTACCCACAACCAAGATGGCGCTGATCGTGATACGCCACTCACCAGAGGTCAGCCACATCGACCCCCTCTTCTGATTGGGGCAGGAAACTGGAGCCATTCGCTGATACCACGCCGCCACCAACTGATGGCGTTGCCTACATGGCGCCCAATACTAGGGCAGTTGGAGTGCAGACCCATAGATGGCGCTGACATTTCCACTGAACACTCCGACAATGGTGTCGATACTATAACAATCTCCACCACCACTAACATCACCACCACCACTATCATCACCACCACCACTATCATCACCACCACTATCATCACCACCACCACTATCATCACCACTAACACCACCACTAACACCACCACCACCACTAACACCACCACCACTATCATCACCACCACCACTATCATCACCACTAACATCACCACAACTACCACCATTGCAGAAGGACGTGTTGAAGCTGCAGCTGCTGTACAACTGCGCCAACACCAGCACCACAGCTGTCGTCACCGTCTCCCCCATCCTGCCCCCATCCCCAGGTAACCGGTACTACAACCCTTGGTTCCTCAACCCCTGGTTCCTCAACTCCTGGTTCCTCAGCCCCTGGGTCCACAACCCCTGGTTCCTCAACTCCTGGTTCCTCAGCCCCTGGGTCCACAACCCCTGGTTCCTCAACTCCTGGTTCCTCAACTCCTGGTTCCTCAGCCCCTGGTTCCTCAGCCCCTGGTTCCTCAGCCCCTGGGTCCACAACTCCTGGTTCCTCAGCCCCTGGGTCCACAACTCCTGGTTCTTCAACTCCTGGTTCCTCAACTCCTGGTTCCTCAGCCCCCTGGGTCCACAACCCCTGGTTCCTCAACTCCTGGTTCCTCAACTCCTGGTTCCTCAGCCCCTGGGTCCACAACCCCTGGTTCCTCAACTCCTGGTTCCTCAGCCCCTGGGTCCACAACTCCTGGTTCCTCAACTCCTGGTTCCTCAACTCCTGGTTCCTCAGCCCCTGGGTCCACAACTCCTGGTTCTTCAACTCCTGGTTCCTCAGCCCCTGGGTCCACAACCCCTGGTTCCTCAACTCCTGGTTCCTCAGCCCCTGGGTCCACAACTCCTGGTTCCTCAACTCCTGGTTCCTCAACTCCTGGTTCCTCAACTCCTGGTTCCTCAACTCCTGGTTCCTCAACTCCTGGTTCCTCAGCCCCTGGGTCCACAACTCCTGGTTCCTCAGCCCCTGGGTCCACAACTCCTGGTTCCTCAACTCCTGGTTCCTCAACTCCTGGTTCCTCAACTCCTGGTTCCTCAACTCCTGGTTCCTCAGCCCCTGGGTCCACAACTCCTGGTTCCTCAACTCCTGGTTCCTCAGCCCCTGGGTCCACAATCCCTGGTTCCTCAACTCCTGGTTCCTCAGCCCCTGGGTCCACAACTCCTGGTTCTTCAACTCCTGGTTCCTCAGCCCCTGGGTCCACAACCCCTGGTTCCTCAACTCCTGGTTCCTCAGCCCCTGGGTCCACAACTCCTGGTTCCTCAACTCCTGGTTCCTCAATTCCTGGTTCCTCAACTCCTGGTTCCTCAACTCCTGGTTCCTCAACTCCTGGTTCCTCAGCCCCTGGGTCCACAACCCCTGGTTCCTCAACTCCTGGTTCCTCAGCCCCTGGGTCCACAACTCCTGGTTCTTCAACTCCTGGTTCCTCAGCCCCTGGGTCCACAACCCCTGGTTCCTCAACTCCTGGTTCCTCAGCCCCTGGGTCCACAACCCCTGGTTCCTCAACTCCTGGTTCCTCAGCCCCTGGGTCCACAACTCCTGGTTCCTCAACTCCTGGTTCCTCAACTCCTGGTTCCTCAACTCCTGGTTCCTCAGCCCCTGGGTCCACAACCCCTGGTTCCTCAACTCCTGGTTCCTCAGCCCCTGGGTCCACAACCCCTGGTTCCTCAACTCCTGGTTCCTCAGCCCCTGGGTCCACAACCCCTGGTTCCTCAACTCCTGGTTCCTCAACTCCTGGTTCCTCAGCCCCTGGGTCCACAACTCCTGGTTCCTCAACTCCTGGTTCCTCAGCCCTCTGGGTCCACAACCCCTGGTTCCTCAACTCCTGGTTCCTCAGCCCCTGGGTCCACAACCCCTGGTTCCTCAACTCCTGGTTCCTCAGCCCCTGGGTCCACAACCCCTGGTTCCTCAACTCCTGGTTCCTCAGCCCCTGGGTCCACAACTCCTGGTTCCTCAACTCCTGGTTCCTCAACTCCTGGTTCCTCAACTCCTGGTTCCTCAGCCCCTGGGTCCACAACCCCTGGTTCCTCAACTCCTGGTTCCTCAGCCCCTGGGTTCACAACCCCTGGTTCCTCAACTCCTGGTTCCTCAGCCCCTGGGTCCACAACCCCTGGTTCCTCAACTCCTGGTTCCTCAGCCCCTGGGTCCACAACTCCTGGTTCCTCAACTCCTGGTTCCTCAACTCCTGGTTCCTCAACTCCTGGTTCCTCAGCCCCTGGGTCCACAACCCCTGGTTCCTCAACTCCTGGTTCCTCAGCCCCTGGGTCCACAACCCCTGGTTCCTCAACTCCTGGTTCCTCAGCCCCTGGGTCCACAACCCCTGGTTCCTCAACTCCTGGTTCCTCAACTCCTGGGTCCATAACCCCTGGTTCCTCAACTCCTTGTTCCTCAGCCCCTGGGTCCACAACCCCTGGTTCCTCAACCCCTGGTTCTTCAACTCCTGGGTCCACAACCCCTGGTTCCTCAACTCCTGGTTCCTCAACTCCTGGTTCCTCAGCCCCTGGGTCCACAACCCCTGGTTCCTCAACTCCTGGTTCCTCAGCCCCTGGGTCCACAACCCCTGGTTCCTCAACTCCTGGTTCCTCAGCCCCTGGGTCCACAACCCCTGGTTCCTCAACTCCTGGTTCCTCAACTCCTGGGTCCACAACCCTGGTTCCTCAACTCCTTGTTCCTCAGCCCCTGGGTCCACAACCCCTGGTTCCTCAACCCCTGGTTCCTCAACTCCTGGGTCCACAACCCCTGGTTCCACAACTCCTGGTTCCTCAGCCCCTGGGTCCACAACCCCTGGTTCCTCAACTCCTGGTTCCTCAGCACCTGGGTCCACAACCCCTGGTTCCACAACTCCTGGTTCCTCAGCCCCTGGGTCCACAACCCTTGGTTCCTCAACTCCTGGTTCCTCAGCCCCTGGGTCCACAACCCTTGGTTCCTCAACTCCTGGTTCCTCAGCCCCTGGTTCCATTCTTGCCGCCCTGGTTCTTATTTCCCGCTCTGACCGCTAGGTGGTGGTTCTACCTAACTTCTATTCATGTTTCTATATCGTGTAACTTTTATTTTATAGAATTTCCTCCGGTTCTATCTGCAGTTCTAATTCCTGTGGTGTTATCAGTGGTTCTACATACTCCGATTGTATTGATTTCTTCCCAATTCCAACATATTTGATCTCATATTTGTTTAAATGCTAAATTTCCCTTTTAATTCAAAATGAATTATAAAAAAATAGTTATTTAGAAAATAGGAAATATAAAACATAAAATTAAATTTACTGTTTTAATTGACAGAATACTTAGAAAGTTAATAATTTTATATACTTATTTATAAGTGTTAATTAATTAAAATATAACACTAGTGTTTTACCACGTAGCGTTTAACGTAACTTATTACATTAAGGGTTAAGGAGGAGGTTAATACGTTGAAATTTTTAATCATTCATCATTATTAATAATGGTTAATTATTCATTGATCATTATATCATATTAACAATTGACCAATATTAACTATCTGACATGGTCAATATGTCGCAAATGTTGAATTTTGTAAATATTAATTTATATGACAAACACCTGTTGTATACTTGACCGACATATGGTAAACACCTGTTGTATACTTGACCGACATATGACAAACACCTGTTGTATACTTGACCGACTTATGACAAACACCTGCTGTATACTTGACCGACATATGACAAACACCTGTTGTATACTTGACCGACTTATGACAAACACCTGTTGTATACTTGACCGACATATGGTAAACACCTGCTGTATACTTGACCGACATATGACAAACACCTGTTGTATACTTGACCGACTTATGACAAACACCTGCTGTATACTTGACCGACATATGGTAAACACCTGTTGTATACTTGACCGACATATGACAAACACCTGTTGTATACTTGACCGACATATGACAAACACCTGTTGTATACTTGACCGACTTATGACAAACACCTGTTGTATACTTGACCGACATATGGTAAACACCTGTTGTATACTTGACCGATATATGACAAACACCTGTTGTATACTTGACCGACATATGGTAAACACCTGCTGTATACTTGACCGACATATGACAAACACCTGTTGTATACTTGACCGACTTATGACAAACACCTGCTGTATACTTGACCGACTTATGACAAACACCTGTTGTATACTTGACCGACTTATGACAAACACCTGCTGTATACTTGACCGACATATGACAAACACCTGTTGTATACTTGACCGACTTATGACAAACACCTGTTGTATACTTGACCGACTTATGACAAACACCTGCTGTATACTTGACCGACTTATGACAAACACCTGTTGTATACTTGACCGACTTATGACAAACACCTGCTGTATACTTGACCGACATATGACAAACACCTGTTGTATACTTGACCGACTTATGACAAACACCTGTTGTATACTTGACCGACTTATGACAAGCACCTACTGTATACTGGCCGGCCAAGTGTCAAACACCTGCTTCACACACAGATGACTAACACCTGTCCTTATACCTGATAGCCAAGAGGCTATAACACCTATCCCCCATATCTGAGATACTAACACCTGCCATTCACGAGACACACAAGCCCCTAACACCTGTCCAACACCTGCCAGACAACTGCGAGGACAACAACAAGTACTGTGGCACCTGGGCCAAGATAGGAGAGTGTGGCAAGAACCCCACCTGGATGCATGTCAACTGCAAGAAGTCCTGCAAGAAGTGTGGTCAGTACTCCATATATATATATATATATATATATATATATATATATATATATATATATATATATATATATATATATATATATATATATATATATATATATATATATATATATGTCGTACCTAGTAGCCAGAACTCACTTCTCAGCCTACTATTCAAGGCCCGATTTGCCTAATAAGCCAAGTTTTCCTGAATTAATATATTTACTATAATTTTTTTCTTATGAAATGATAAAGCAACCCTTTTCTCTATGTATGAGGTCAATTTTTTTTTATTGGAGTTAAAATTAACGTAGATATATGACCGAACCTAACCAACCCTACCTAACCTAACCTAACCTATATATATAGGTAAGGTTAGGTTAGGTAGCCAAAAAAGCTAGGTTAGGTTAGGTAGGTTAGGTAGACGAAAAAACATTAATTCATGAAAACTTGGCTTATTAGGCAAATCGGGCCTTGAATAGTAGGCTGAGAAGTGCGTTCTGGCTATTAGGTACGACATATATATATATATATATATATATATATATATATATATATATATATATATATATATGTCGTACCTAGTAGCCAGAACGCACTTCTCGGCCTACTATGCAAGGCCCGATTTGCCTAATAAGCCAAGTTTTCCTGAATTAATATAATTTCTCTAATTTTTTTCTTGTGAAATGATAAAGCTACCCATTTCATTATGTATGAGGTCAATTTTTTTTTATTGGAGGTAAAATTAACGTAGATATATGACCGAACCTAACCAACCCTACCTAACCTAACCTAACCTATCTTTATAGGTTAGGTTAGGTTAGGTAGGTTAGGTAGTCGAAAAACAATTAATTCATGAAAACTTGGCTTATTAGGCAAATCGGGCCTTGCATAGTAGGCCGAGAAGTGCGTTCTGGCTACTAGGTACGACATATTTATATATAATTAATTTAAATTTTCCCCCGAGGGGCGAGTTTATTGGGCAGTGCCACTCATCCTGTGAGTGGACACACCGCCATAGCAGCATGTACAACACTCCCCAAAAGGAAGAAAACCCGCTGGGTTGTTCATCCTGTCACTTGTACCCAGACACAGCTGGGACTTGCTTAACTGTCTCAAGTGAACAGCTCCTCAAACAAGAAGATTAACATCTATCAACCCTTAAAAGCTTACGTTATCTTGCGGGTGCAAAATGGGAAAATCTTTTAAGAACAGTATCAATATTTGACAAATAGTGTTTTCCTAACTCAAACAATGTGGGGTTTATTATTCTACAGTTATTCCTAATGTCTCTCAGGTGTTCACATTCACGTAGATAGTGGTCAAGGCGGTGTCCATCACTCTCACCACAGATTCTGCAACTTCGCTGATCAACTGTTGTTTCCATTCCGTATCTCCATGGATATTTGTATCCAAGACGGATTCTTGCTATTACTGATTCTCTCCCTCGTCCTCCTCCTCTTCGTCCATAATGATTGGGATTGCCAGCTGCAACCATGTTGTACCATCGTACAGATTCACTGGTTTGTGCTTCTATCCTCCTTTCCTCAGTTACCTTGTCACGGTGATGTTGCCTGACAATACCTCTAATTTGTAGTAGAGTCTTGGGTATGAAGTATTCAATATGGTCTCCTTCAGCGCCTTCAGCAGCCAGCACATCTGCTCGTTCATTCCCACATATTCCAACATGGGAGGGGATCCACAACATGGGAGGGGATCCACAACATGGGAGGGGATCCACAGAAACTTGATGACTCTTCCCTGATTGGTAAGTACTCTCACAACTCTCTTAATTTCAGCGACTATTGCAAGATTTTCTGCCCGATTTCTACTTAGGCTTTGCAGTGCTGCTTTTGAATCAGTGTAAATCACTGCACCATTAGTATTCCGTTTAAGAAACCTTAACGCCATAACAATGGCAGTTAGTTTTGCTTGCGTTGAAGAGGCATAGTTCTCAATACGCGCTTTTTCTTCATTTCTGCGTTGGAAAGTATTATCCTTGATTGCCGTGTATGCTACACCAGCCCTGCCATTGACAGGATTAGAGGACCCGTCAGTGTTGATTTGATCTAGTTCATCTCCGGCTTCTTTATAAATTTCCTGGAGATACTTGTGCCTCATTTCTTGTGGTAACATGTTGGATTTTTTTGTTGCCATTTCATTGATGATGATCTTGCATGAGTCATCCTCCCAGGGAGGTAACCTCTCTACAGGCAGGAGCTCACGGGCTTGCTCAAGCAGGTGAAGCTCTTCGAGGAAACAGACTGATCTGTGATGCCATTTTTTGCTTCTCCTGTTTCCTGCTGAAAGTAGCACAGAGCTCAGTTTTTCTTAGCAATATCATTGTAATGGGGATCTCTGGCTATCCTAATTGCAAGCTTAGCATTCAGCTCCTTAATTCTTCTTTTAACACTGGGGAGGGACAACTCCTCTCGTAGATTAGACGTTTTGGCAGTTCTTGGAACTTCAAGAATGATTGTCATGGCTTCATTTTGAATGTTTTCAAGCTTTTTCATATCGCTTTGGGAGTAGGTGCACAGAACTGGTGCGGCATAATCTATGAGGGAGCGCACATAGGCTGTGTACATCATTTTAAGCACGGCAATAGAGGCTCCATGTCCATTCCAGGTCATAGCTTTCAGTGACCTGAGTCGACTTTTGCATGTTCCTATGAGTTGATTGAGCTCCTCTTTCTTTCCCTTGTTAGAGCCGACAGTGACGCCAAGGTACCGATAGTGGTCAACCCATTCAAGTGTTACACCATTAATTTGCAGTTCTTCATTTGCTCTCCGCTTGTGATGGGAGTATGCCTTCGTCTTGTTTGTGGAGAGAGTGAAACCGAGCTCAATACATTTCCTTCCAAGGAGTTCAATGACTGTTCAATTTTTCCCAAGGTGGGAGCTTGTATTAGGACATCATCTGCATATCCCACTTGTTGTGTTCCTTCCGGAAAATCAATATTTGCAATGGCGTTCATAAGTACATTGAATAGTGTAGGGCTTAAGACTCCGCCTTGGGGGTCCCGAGTTCCATATTCATTGTTCTTGACACTGCTCCATTGAAGCAAACTTTGGCTTTCCTCCCTGTGAGGTGGTCTTCAACCCATTTCATGAGTCTCCCCTTGACACCCATGCATGCAAGCTCGTCCAGGATCGCAATCCCCTGTGCTTTGTCGAAGGCTCCTTTGATGTCAACAAATACAGAGCACCTAGCCGTGTCATTAGCCAAGTAATTAACTATACAGTTTGCTGTGCTCCGTCCTTTAACAAATTCATTGACCCCCTCCCCTAACCTGCATATTTTGTCCCATAGTCGGTTTAGGATGATCCATTCAAGCATCTTGCAAGTGCATGACATGAGACTGAAAGGTCTGTAATTACCAGGGTCATTAGGCTTCGGTATGGGAACAATTATTGCGTGTTTCCATTGTGTGGGCAGCACTCCACTTAGGAATGACTTGTTAAACAGGTGGAGTAGTGGATTCCCAGACACTTCACACAGTGCATTATGTCGTAGGTGACGCCATCCTCACCAGGTGCTGTACTTTTACCCTTTTTCATAACGCCCCTTTACTTCCTGGGCTGTGATTGGTTCCCCATATTCGTCATCACTAGACAGTGCTCTTGTTATCCTAATTCTTCTGTCATCATGTCGCAGGAGCTGTTCCCTGCTGATTTCTGCAGGGAGGGAGGAGGAGGAGGATGCTGCATCACTCCACTTGTAAATTAGTTCCTCAGCCTTACCCTGGGGGTCTTCGTGAGCCGCAGGCCGGGCTCTGCCCCCCTTAGCTATCTGAATTTTTGCCCACACTTGTCTTGCAGATGTTTCTCTTCCAATGGAGCTAGTGAACTCAAGCCATTGTCTTTCCCGCTCTTTAATCTTCTCTTCCCTGGCTACTTGACACACACAGTTTTAAACAACTCTTGGTTACTTTCAGTGGGATGTCTCCGGTACTCTCTACTCATGTCTCGCACATTTGCGTTGAGCATCTTTATGTAATCATTCTCATACCATTTTATTTTCTTCCTCTGAGGGTTACTTCGCCCAGGCGTACGGCGCGGAACTCTTAGACAGCTCTCAATTTGGTGGTTAAGGTCATCAACAAATCTATCAATGTCTTCTGGGATTTGGTATTCCGTGAACCAGTCACTCATCGTGTTTATGAAGTGCGGCCTCATATCTGGTCCGAGTGATAACCTTTTCATATATTTGTCTCTTTCTTTCTCTTGCACATGTCGACGGTGGTAAAATATATATATATATATATATATATATATATATATATATATATATATATATATATATATATATATATATATATATATATATATATATATATATATATATATGTATATGACCCTAGGGACCATTCAGGGTTGTTTGCATTTGTGTTCCTCATGTGTGCCCCAAAGAATGAGGTGATTTGATAAAATGCTATGCCCAAGATTACCATCGGAGTGCCGGCGGGGAAGTGGTTCAAATAGCTTCTGCTATCACTTCCTTATGTCCGGTCGTGATGATCAAGCGGATTAAAGCGTCCTGTAGTTACCAGTTGCGTTGCTCCTGGGAGTATGGGTTCGAGTCACTTCTGGGGTGTGAGTTTTCAGTCGCATATAGTCCTGGGGACCATTCAGGCTTGTTCGTACAGAACAAAATATATATATATATATATATATATATATATATATATATATATATATATATATATATATATATATATATATATATATATATATATATATATATATATATATATATATGTCGTACCTAGCAGCCAGAACGCACTTCTCAGCCTACTATGCAAGGGCCAATTTGCCTATTAAGCCAAGTTTTTGAGCCCGTAGTGGACTTTTTTTTATTGTAATTAAAAGTCATATGTAGCAAAAATATTTAAAAAATAAATAAATATTCACCAAGAATGCAAAAGTTTTTTACTAATTGATTTAATATTATAGTAAAATATATTATGAATTTAGATAAGAAAATTAATGTTAATTTGGCGATTTAATGCACATGCGGATACGTGGATTAATGAGTGGATTAATGAGTGGATTATGTGTTGCCAGGAGCGGAGTGTTCGGATAACAATGAACATTGTACCTTCTGGGCTCAGAAGAACGAGTGCGTCACTAACCCGTCCTACATGAGTCTGTTCTGCAAGAAGAGCTGCGGCGTGTGTCACACTAGTGGTGAGCATGGGGGGGGGGGTTGTCACACTAGTGGTGAGCATGGGGGGGGGGGGTTGTCACACTAGTGGTGAGCATGGGGGGGGGTTGTCACACTAGTGGTGAGCATGGGGGGGGGGTTGTCACACTAGTGGTAAGCATGGGGGGGGGGGGTTGTCACACTAGTGGTGAGCATGGGGGGGGGGTGTCACACTAGTGGTGAGCATGGGGGGGTGTCACACTAGTGGTAAGCATGGGGGGGGGTTGTCACACTAGTGGTGAGCATGGGGGGGGGTTGTCACACTAGTGGTAAGCATGGGGGGGGGGCGTGTGTCACACTAGTGGTAAGCATGGGGGGGGCGTGTGTCACACTAGTGGTAAGCATGGGGGGGGCGTGTGTCACACTAGTGTTAAGCATGGTGGGGGGGTGTCACACTAGTGGTGAGCATGGGGGGGGTGTGTGTCACACTAGTGGTAAGCATGGGGGGGGTGTGTGTCACACTAGTGGTAAGCATGGTGGGGGGGTGTCACACTAGTGGTGAGCATGGGGGGGGGGGTGTGTGTCACACTAGTGGTAAGCATGGGGGGGGGGGTGTGTGTCACACTAGTGGTAAGCATGGTGGGGGGGTGTCACACTAGTGGTGAGCATGGGGGGGGGGCGTGTGTCACACTAGTGGTAAGCATGGGGGGAGGGGTGTCACACTAGTGGTAAGCATGGGGGGGGTGTCACACTAGTGGTGAGCATGGGGGGAGGGGTGTCACACTAGTGGTAAGCATGGGGGAAAGGTTTTCACAATAGTGGTGAGCATGGGGGGAGGGGTGTCACACTAGTGGTAAGCATGGGGGGGGGCGTGTGTCACACTAGTGGTGAGCATGGGGGGGGCGTGTGTCACACTAGTGGTAAGCATGGGGGGGGGGGGCGTGTGTCACACTAGTGGTAAGCATGGGGGGGCGTGTGTCACACTAGTGGTAAGCATGGGGGGGCGTGTGTCACACTAGTGGTAAGCATGGGCGGGGGCGTGTGTCACACTAGTGGTGAGCATGGGGGGGGGCGTGTGTCACACTAGTGGTAAGCATGGGGGGGTGTGTCACACTAGTGGTAAGCATGGGGGGGGGGCGTGTGTCACACTAGTGGTAAGCATGGGGGGGCGTGTGTCACACTAGTGGTAAGCATGGGGGGGCGTGTGTCACACTAGTGGTAAGCATGGGGGGGCGTGTGTCACACTAGTGGTAAGCATGGGGGGGCGTGTGTCACACTAGTGGTAAGCATGGGGGGGGTGTGTCACACTAGTGGTAAGCATGGGGGGGTGTCACACTAGTGGTGAGCATGGGGGGGGGGGGTGTCACACTAGTGGTAAGCATGGGGGGGGGGCGTGTGTCACACTAGTGGTAAGCATGGGGGGGCGTGTGTCACACTAGTGGTAAGCATGGGGGGGGCGTGTGTCACACTAGTGGTAAGCATGGGGGGGCGTGTGTCACACTAGTGGTAAGCATGGGGGGGGGGGTGTCACACTAGTGGTAAGCATGGGGGGGCGTGTGTCACACTAGTGGTAAGCATGGGGGGGCGTGTGTCACACTAGTGGTAAGCATGGGGGGGTGTCACACTAGTGGTTAGCATGGGGGGGCGTGTGTCACACTAGTGGTAAGCATTGGGGGGGGCGTGTGTCACACTAGTGGTAAGCATGGGGGGTGGCACACTAGTGGTAAGCATGGGGGGGGTGTCACACTAGTGGTAAGCATGGGGGGGCGTGTGTCACACTAGTGGTAAGCATGGGGGGGGTGTGTCACACTAGTGGTAAGCATGGGGGGGTGTCACACTAGTGGTGAGCATGGGGGGTGTGTCACACTAGTGGTAAGCATGGGGGGGGCGTGTGTCACACTAGTGGTAAGCATGGGGGGGGGTGTCACACTAGTGGTAAGGATGGGGGGGTGTGTCACACTAGTGGTAAGCATGGGGGGGGGTGTGTCACACTAGTGGTAAGCATGGGGGGGGGCGTGTGTCACACTAGTGGTAAGCATGGGGGGGGCGTGTGTCACACTAGTGGTAAGCATGGGGGGGGGCGTGTGTCACACTAGTGGTAAGCATGGGGGGCGTGTGTCACACTAGTGGTAAGCATGGGGGGGCGTGTGTCACACTAGTGGTAAGCATGGGGGGGGTGTGTCACACTAGTGGTAAGCATGGGGGGGGCGTGTGTCACATTAGTGGTAAGCATGGGGGGGGTGTCACACTAGTGGTAAGCATGGGGGGCGTGTGTCACACTAGTGGTAAGCATGGGGGGGGGGTATGTCACACTAGTGGTAAGCATGGGGGGGGCGTGTGTCACACTAGTGGTAAGCATGGGGGGGCGTGTGTCACACTAGTGGTAAGCATGGGGGGGTGTGTCACACTAGTGGTAAGCATGGGGGGGGGGTGTGTCACACTAGTGGTAAGCATGGGGGGGGCGTGTGTCACACTAGTGGTAAGCATGGGGGGGGGGCGTGTGTCACACTAGTGGTAAGCATGGGGGGGGGCGTGTGTCACACTAGTGGTAAGCATGGGGGGCGTGTGTCACACTAGTGGTAAGCATGGGGGGGGCGTGTGTCACACTAGTGGTAAGCATGGGGGGGCGTGTGTCACACTAGTGGTAAGCATGGGGGGGGGGCGTGTGTCACACTAGTGGTAAGCATGGGGGGGGGGTGTCACACTAGTGGTAAGCATGGGGGGGGGGTGTGTCACACTAGTGGTGAGCATGGGGGGGTGTCACACTAGTGGTAAGCATGGGGGGGGCGTGTGTCACACTAGTGGTAAGCATGGGGGGGTGTCACACTAGTGGTGAGCATGGGGGGGTGTCACACTAGTGGTGAGCATGGGGGGGGGTGTCACACTAGTGGTAAGCATGGGGGGTGTCACACTAGTGGTAAGCATGGGGGGTGTCACACTAGTGGTAAGCATGGAGGGGGCGTGTGTCACACTAGTGGTAAGCATGGGGGGGTGTCACACTAGTGGTAAGCATGGGGGGTGTCACACTAGTGGTGAGCATGGGGGGGTGTCACACTAGTGGTAAGCATGGGGGGGGCGTGTGTCACACTAGTGGTAAGCATGGGGGGTGTCACACTAGTGGTGATCATGGGGGGGGGGTGTTACACTAGTGGTAAGCATGGGGGGTGTCACACTAGTGGTGAGCATGGGGGGGGGGTGTTACACTAGTGGTAAGCATGGGGGGGTGTCACACTAGTGGTAAGCATGGGGGGGGGGGTGTCACACTAGTGGTAAGCATGGGGAGGGTGTCACACTAGTGGTGAGCATGGGGGGGGGTGTCACACTAGTGGTAAGCATGGGGGGGTGTCACACTAGTGGTAAGCATGGGGGGTGTCACACTAGTGGTAAGCATGGAGGGGGCGTGTGTCACACTAGTGGTAAGCATGGGGGGTGTCACACTAGTGGTGAGCATGGGGGGGTGTCACACTAGTGGTAAGCATGGGGGGGGGGCGTGTGTCACACTAGTGGTAAGCATGGGGGGGGGGTCACACTAGTGGTGATCATGGGGGGGGGTGTTACACTAGTGGTAAGCATGGGGGGTGTCACACTAGTGGTAAGCATGGGGGGGTGTCACACTAGTGGTGAGCATGGGGGGGGGGTGTTACACTAGTGGTAAGCATGGGGGGGTGTCACACTAGTGGTAAGCATGGGGGGGGGTGTCACACTAGTGGTAAGCATGGGGAGGGTGTCACACTAGTGGTAAGCATGGGGGGTGTCACACTAGTGGTAAGTATGGGGGGGTGTCACACTAGTGGTAAGCATGGGGGGGTGTCACACTAGTGGTAAGCATGGGGGGTGTCACACTAGTGGTAAGCATGGGGGGGGGCGTGTGTCACACTAGTGGTAAGCATGGGGGGGGTGTCACACTAGTGGTAAGCATGGGGGGGCGGGTGTCACACTAGTGGTAAGCATGGGGGGGTGTCACACTAGTGGTAAGCATGGGGGGGGGGAGTGCATGTGTCACAATACTGTATAAATTATATATTAATAATTACAAATTAATATAATTATTTATGAACATAATTAATAATTGTGTTTGAAATTTATAAAATTAATGAATCCTATTTTCTTTGGCATATTTAATTGATTTGATATTTTGTTTTTATATACCAACGCAACCCGATCAAGACAGCACATATATGACTTATTGCCTAGTCACTATTTCGCTTATAAATAAGTATATGTGTGACATATTCCAATCCCTTTTTTTTTAAAGGCACTAACTTTTCCTCTCAGTTTTATTAAACAATAAAGATTTTATACAAAATTTGACAATATCCTGAGTTACTTTACAATTTATTTAAATATTTTAGTTTTGTTTTATTATTTTTATAAAACTAACATCAATATAGGTATAGGTTCAGTACTAATTGTAATATCTTAACATACTAAGAAGGTTAGGTTGTGGTTTTCTATTCAGCATTTCAAGGTAAACTCAAATATTCACAATAAATTAGTATGTCACATATGCACTTATTCATAAGTAAGATATTGACTATAAGCAAGTGCGAGCCGTATATACAACAAGGCCCATGTACATACTAACCCTTGTGCCCGTCCTCCGGCAGCTGATTACAACGCTGACGTCTGCGCTGACGACAACAAGCACTGTCAGGCCTGGGCTGACAGCGGTCACTGTCGCTCCAATCCCAACTACATGTTACTGTTCTGCAGGAAGGCTTGCAAGCAGTGCTAGGCTGACACTCCTTCCTGCAGGCTGACACCCCTTCCTGCTGGCCTGACACTCCTTCCTGCAGGCTGACACTCCTTCCTGTAGGCTGACACTCCTTCCTGCAGGCTGACACTCCTTCCTGCAGGCCTGACACTCCTTCCTGAAGGCAGACACCCCAACCAGCTGGCCTGACACTCCTTCCTGCAGGCTGACACTCCTTCCTGCAGGCTGACACTCCTTCCTGTAGGCTGACACTCCTTCCTGCAGGCTGACACTCCTTCCTGTAGGCTGACACTCCTTCCTGCAGGCTGACACTCCTTCCTGCAGGCTGACACTCCTTCCTGTAGGCTGACACTCCTTCCTGCAGGCTGACACCCCTTCCTGCAGGCTGACACTCCTTCCTGCAGGCTGACACTCCTTCCTGCAGGCTGACACTCCTTCCTGCAGGCTGACACTCCTTCCTGCAGGCTGACACTCCTTCCTGCAGGCTGACACTCCTTCCTGCAGGCTGACACTCCTTCCTGCAGGCTGACACTCCTTCCTGCAGGCTGACACCCCTTCCTGCAGGCCTGACACTCCTTCCTGCAGGCTTGACACTCCTTCTTGCAGGCTTGACACTCCTTCCTGCAGGCCTGACACCCCTTCCTGCAGGCTGACACCCCTTCCTGCAGGCTGACACTCCTTCCTGCAGGCTGACACTCCTTCCTGCAGGCTGACACCCCTTCCTGCAGGCTGACACCCCTTCCTGCAGGCTGACACTCCTTCCTGCTGGCTGACACTCCTTCCTGCAGGCTGACACTCCTTCCTGCAGGCTGACACCCCTTCCTGCAGGCTGACACTCCTTCCTGCAGGCTGATACCCCTTCCTGCAGGCTGACACCCCTTCCTGCAGGCTGACACTCCTTCCTGCAGGCTGATACCCCTTCCTGCAGGCTGACACCCCTTCCTGCAGGCTGACACACCTTCCTGCAGGCTGACACCCCTTCCTGTAGGCTGATACCCCTTCCTGCAGGCTGACACACCTTCCTGCAGGCTGACACACCTTCCTGCAGGCTGACACCCCTTCCTGCAGGCTGACACACCTTCCTGCAGGCTGACACCCCTTCCTGTAGGCTGATACCCCTTCCTGTAGGCTGACACCCCTTCCTGCTGGCATGACACTCCTTCCTGCAGGCTGACACTCCTTCCTGCAGGCTGACACCCCTTCCTGCAGGCTGACACCCCTTCCTGCACGCCTGACACCCCTTCCTGCAGGCTGACACCCCTTCCTGCAGGCTGACACCCCTTCCTGCAGGCTGACACTCCTTCCTGTAGGCTGACACTCCTTCCTGCAGGCTGACACTCCTTCCTGCAGGCTGACACCCCTTCCTGCAGGCTGACACTCCTTCCTGTAGGCTGACACCCCTTCCTGCAGGCCTGACACTCCTTCCTGCAGGCTGACACCCCTTCCTGTAGGCTGACACTCCTTCCTGCAGGCTGACACCCCTTCCTGTAGGCTGACACCCCTTCCTGCAGGCTGACACTCCTTCCTGCAGGCTGACACCCCTTCCTGCAGGCTGACACCCCTTCCTGCAGGCCTGACACCCCCTTCCTGCAGGCTGACACCCCTTCCTGCAGGCTGATACCCCTTCCTGCTGGCCTGACACTCCTTCCTGCAGGCCTGACACCCCTTCCTGCAGGCTGACACCCCTTCCTGCAGGCTGACACCCCTTCCTGCTGGCCTGACACTCCTTCCTGTAGGCTGACACCCCTTCCTGCAGGCCTGACACTCCTTCCTGTAGGCTGACACCTCTTCCTGCAGGCTGACACTCCTTCCTGTAGGCTGACACTCCTTCCTGCAGGCTGACACTCCTTCCTGCAGGCTGACACTCCTTCCTGCAGGCTGATACTCCTTCCTGCAGGCTGACACTCCTTCCTGCAGGCCTGACACCCCTTCCTGCAGGCTGATACTCCTTCCTGCAGGCTGACACCCCTTCCTGCTGGCTGACACCCCTTCCTGCAGGCCTGACACCCCTTCCTGCAGGCTGACACTCCTTCCTGCAGGCTGACACTCCTTCCTGCAGGCTGACACTCCTTCCTGCAGGCTGACACTCCTTCCTGCTGGCTGACACTCCTTCCTGCAGGCTGACACTCCTTCCTGCTGGCTGACACCCCTTCCTGCAGGCCTGACACTCCTTCCTGTAGGCTGACACCCCTTCCTGCAGGCCTGACACTCCTTCCTGCAGGCTGACACCCCTTCCTGCAGGCTGACACCCCTTCCTGCAGGCTAACACTCCTTCCTGCAGGCTGATACTCCTTCCTGCAGGCTGACACTCCTTCCTGCAGGCCTGACACTCCTTCCTGCAGGCTGACACTCCTTCCTGCAGGCTGACACCCCTTCCTGCAGGCCTGACACACCTTCCTGCAGGCCTGACACTCCTTCCTGCAGGCTGACACCCCTTCCTGCAGGGTGACACCCCTTCCTGCAGGCTGACACTCCTTCCTGCAGGCTGACACCCCTTCCTGCAGGCCTGACACTCCTTCCTGCAGGCTGACACCCCTTCCTGTAGGCTGACACTCCTTCCTGCAGGCTGACACCCCTTCCTGTAGGCTGACACCCCTTCCTGTAGGCTGACACTCCTTCCTGCAGGCTGACACCCCTTCCTGTAGGCTGACACCCCTTCCTGTAGGCTGACACTCCTTCCTGCAGGCTGACACCCCTTCCTGTAGGCTGACACCCCTGCAGGCTGACACTCCTTCCTGTAGGCCTGACACCCAGGCCAAGACTGACGACGTCAGGTGTGTAACATTTGGCTGTATGTCTCCTCAGCCTTCATCACTCTGCACTTGCCAGAGTTGAACTCTAATATCCACTTGTTGAACCTCTGGTGAGTTTTAACTGCTTCTTCTTCAAGGTTCTTCAAGGTTCTTCAAGGTTCTTCAAGGCCATTGGAGGTTGTGGACTACCATGACTCTCCATACACGTCCTGTCTATCCACCGGGAGGGAGGTAGACGGTAGATGTAGAGTAGATTTCACTTTGCCTTAGATCTACAAGAGTTGTGTTGATGTTGGTAGAGAAATATTCTTCTCAGGCTGATGGGGTTATACTTGTAGGTTATAGTAAAGTTTGGCTTATAACTCATTTTTTATATATTTTGTTTGATGGTTTAGTAAACTGTTGTTGGAAGGTGTTGGTCACTACAGCGGGGTCTCAGAGGAGCGTATGTGCGCACTTGTGAAACACAGCGTATTCATGCGCACATGATTTACGCAGCATGTGTGTGTGTGTGTATTTTGACGCACACACGGATGTGTATTTTGGACAAAGAGCACATGTATGTGTACGCAAGACGCATAAATGTGTTTTTTAAGAAAAAAGGCGTGACGCAATTTACGCAAACATGTGTGTGCGTAAATCTTCTTGTGTGACGCATTAATGATTAGTTCCCTTGTGTGGGTTAAAGTATGTGAATGGTACCATGAGTCTACCACCATGATTGTATTTGTGTTTGTTGATAGAATGTAGTTAAATTCTGCAATGAAATAAAAACATCACTAGAATTATCCTTGTTTTATTAAACCAACGAGAGAACCATGCTGCCAGTCTCCGTGGTGTAGTGGTAAGACACTCGCCTGGCGTTCCGCGAGCGCTATGTCATGGGTTCGTATCCTGGCCGGGGAGGATTTACTGGGCGCAAATCCTTAACTGTAGCCTCTGTTTAACGCAACAGTAAATAGTGTACTTGGTTGTAACAACGATTCTTCGCGGCGGGGATCGTATTCCAGGGACCTGCCCGAAACGCTACGCGTACTAGTGGCTGTACAAGAATGTAACAACTCTTGTATATATCTCAAAAAATAAAAATCAACATTAATACTCCATGTAAATATTAAACCGTGGGTCCCATAGCCGACGGCTGCCTGTCCCCGTCGAGGCCACTAGAGATGGTGGCCCTCATGCAGTCAAACTCAGTCATATGATGTTCACTGTTGACCAAACTTGAGAACTTCGTAGAGACGGGCGATGACACCTGAAGCCGGCCCCCTGAAGGGACCCGTGGGAAGGGCTCTTAAGGGGCCCTCCGGGTCCACAAGCCACTCCCGAAATCTGACGACTTAGAGCGGCATTGCCGATGACAAGTCACTCAGTGACCGTGTCGAACTGGTAACTAATTATTACCTTCGTTGTTAAACGTTCCATTGAGGTTCACTCAGCCATCCGGCTCATCAACCAATTAATCTCAGTGGGGTGGGGAGAGAGGGAGAGGGTAGGGGAGAGAGGGAGAGGGTGGATTTACATTTCAATCCCTCACCCCTTGTGGATTATTGGGGCGGTCAAAATATTGAAGCATATGGCTGTTATTATCGGTGGGTGGCGGGAGACAGAGAAAACGCGACCTTGTGGCGGAAAACTATATGACAGAGGGTGACTACTCTATTTATAATCTGGCTCAACTTTAAAATATTTGTTCGCATTATTTTATGCTTTGTGTCCTCAGAACGCGAGCCAGAAGTATGTATGACTGAGATATCATTGCCAGTAAAAGGTAAATAAGAAAAGAATTGAGATTAAAGGTGGATATTATAGGAAATATTATCAAATGAGCAGGTCGCATCTCGGTGTGGTTGTGGTCGGGGTGGTTCTCCCCCTGGGGAGATGGTGGTCGATTAAGACCTTGGCTTCATTGTTCAGTTTTAACCCGGTAATCATTACTCACGTCGGATTAAATTCTCGCCGCGACAAGTGAGCAGAATATTCTTTTGTGTGCCAGATTGTACGGCAATATACTCGCCCTGTCTACCTCTTTGTAGATGTATAACTAACCCGCTCACTCCCGTCTTTATTTTATCTCTCTCCCGTCTCTTTCTCTCTCACTCTCTGTCTGTCTCTCTTTCTCTCACACTATCACTCTCACTGCCTCTGTCTGTCTCTCTTTCTCTCTCACTATCACTCTCTGTCTCTGTCTCTCTTTCTCTCTCACTGTCACTCTCTGTCTCTGTCTGTCTCTCTTTCTCTTTCACTATCACTCTCTGTCTCTGTCTGTCTCTCTTTCTCTCTCACTATCACTCTCTGTCTCTGTCTGTCTCTCTTTCTCTCTCACTATCACTCTCTGTCTCTGTCTGTCTCTCTTTCTCTCTCACTATCACTCTCTGTCTCTGTCTGTCTCTCTTTCTCTCTCAGTATCACTCTCTGTCTCTGTCTGTCTCTCTTTCTCTCTCACTATCACTCTGTCTCTGTCTGTCTCTATTTCTCTCTCACTATCACTCTCTGTCTCTGTCTGTCTCTCTTTCTCACTGTCACTCTCTCTTTCTGTTGGAACATGAGACTACACTGAGGAAGGGCAGACCAACTTCCCGTGTAGAGGATGTCATAACACACACAACCCTGAGACGTCTTGGCGACACGCCTGACAGCACTCTGCTTGACCTACGTCAACACAACAGTGAGGATGGACACCAGACTCATGGACTGTTAGCAGCAGCATCTCTACACACAAGTTAAAGCCACACAAATCTAATAAAATGTTTGTTCGTCTTGGACGAATATCTGTTTGTCCATCCATCCGGCCATATATCTATTCATTTATTCACAATATTCACCTAAACTCCGGTTTGGCAGCAGGATGCTGCTTCTGGAAACCTGTCCTTATTAAGGCAACTCAGGGCCCAGTCGATAGAGCTTTGGCCTTACACGCGTGGGGTCCACGGTTCGAGATCCAAACAGCCCAAGCAGGTGAATGGAATATATATTCACCTATCTGGGGGTGGGGGGTGTTAAATTACAAATATTTCTTAAAGTATATAACTGAGTCCTACCTCGAGCAGCCTATGTCCATCCCATACCTCATCAGCTCTGCATGTTTGAGTGACTAAACTCAAGCCTTGTATAAAAATATCCCATCTGTGCACCTTGACACAGTATTGATTTAATTCGATTCTTTTAGTTCCCCATTAAAGTTTCCGGGTTTTCGTTCTTTTCTCCTTGTTAGAAGGATGACACAGACAAGGCAGCTAAAACTACATGTGATAAGCCTGAAACTGAGTTGGATATGGACATTCCAATCAATGCTGTGAAGCCGCAATTTTTCAGGAAATTAAGGAAGACTGAAAAGCAGTCACTGACACACAAAGCCAGGAAGCACGAGTATAAAGAGCTATGACATGTTTAGAGCCGAGAATTATTATTATTTTTTTTTTTTTTTTTTTTTTTTTTTTTTTTTTTTTTTTTGAGATATATACAAGAGTTGTACATTCTTGTACAGCCACTAGTACGCGTAGCGTTTCGGGCAAGTCCTTAATCCTATGGTCCCTGGAATACGATCCCCTGCCGCGAAGAATCGATTTTTCATCCAAGTACACATTTTACTGTTGCGTTAAACAGAGGCTACAGTTAAGGAATTGCGCCCAGTAAATCCTCCCCGGCCAGGATACGAACCCATGACATAGCGCTCGCGGAAACGCCAGGCGAGTGTCTTACCACTACACCACGGAGACTGTAAATTATATGTACGGGCAGCATAAAACATCCACTAGACAGTGTGACATTGTAACTGCCAGAATTAGGCTGGGATATCTATATCTATGGCAGGTGGCTGCAGGTTATGAATCCCCCAATGGTGAACAAGAGCTGGGACATACTCTCCAACACTATATCTGTAATTGCCCTGTTATAAGTGACTTCAGACCAAATGGTATGAGGTACTTTAAGCGCTATAATTACTTCATACATTCAGGAATATTGGAAGATCTTCTTGTGCTGTGCCCAGAGAGTACTAGTGGAGGCTTATAGGTCAGCTTTACATTACATGTTTTCTCCTGATTCCATGTATGACTGGCCGTCCTGTGAGGTGAGATGTTGGATGAGGTTGTAGCTGTTATTTAATCTACACTGTGTGGTCCTTCACACAGAATAAGGTACCACAACATTGCTGTGAATACCTAAGTTTGTTAAAACAAAACCAAAAAATTTGTGGAGTTATTATTTGTTATTATTTGAGAAGAATCTTGTGGAACTGGTAAAAATGATGATAATATAATATGTATATGACTCAGTGCTTAGCTCATGTGAAAATCATAAAGTTATTATTTAGTCAAACTTAATTTATTTTTTTGTATTGAGGGAGGTATTTCCTCTCCTGATTCCATGTGTGATTAACCATCCTATGAGATGGGAATATGCATGAACTTATAGATAGCTTTTGATCTACACTGTGTCATCTCTCATATAGAATTAGGTAGTAGCACATTCCTGTGTATACTCAAGTATGTTAATAAAGAAATATAAAAATATGTGTTATGTTTTTTAATATTTCCTACTTAAACTAGTGCGTGATAAACATTTATTGTATCATAAATATTGAAAACGGAATATATTAAACAAATTTTAATTTATTAAATATTTTGCGTTCTTTTATATAACATTCTATCATTATTTATTTTCCTTTAATTTACATGCATAAATCTGTACACACTTCAACCCTTATTTGATTTCTCAGTGCTTCTTAATTAATCAGTAGACCCGAGTGCCTCTGTTAACCCACAAGAGGTTGCTACACCTTAAGCCAAATACGAAACCAACTTTAAGACAAACCAATATTGTTTTCCACTAACTCACGCTATCATGCTATCATAAACACTTTTCGCTTACAATTTGTTAGGAATTGGTTAACGTTTCCTTGGCTGTTAGGATCATTAGTTGAAATGAACATAGTTGTAGGTAAACAGGGGCTCCTAGTTAGGCCACTGACCTGCCAGAGGTCGCTGCCGTCAAGGTAGACGCAGATAGTGTTATGTTAATATACCATCTTGATCACTTTATGGGTAGACTCAGTTGTCATGTTGAACACTATGTGGGTAGACTGTGTTGTCATGTTGAACACTATGTGGGTAGACTGTGTTGTCATGTTGAACACTATGTGGGTAGACTGTGTTGTCATGTTGAACACTATGTGGGTAGAATGAGTTGTCATGTTGAACACTATGTGGGTAGACTGTGTTGTCATGTTGAACACTATGTGGGTAGACTGAGTTGTCATGTTGAACACTATGTGGGTAGACTGTGTTGTCATGTTGAACACTATGTGGGTAGACTGAGTTGTCATGTTGAACACTATGTGGGTAGACTGAGTTGTCATGTTGAGCACTATGTGGGTAGACTGTGTTGTCATGTTGAACACTATGTGGGTAGACTGAGTTGTCATGTTGAACACTATGTGGGTAGACTGTGTTGTCATGTTGAACACTATGTGGGTAGACTGTGTTGTCATGTTGAGCACTATGTGGGTAGACTGTGTTGTCATGTTGAGCACTATGTGGGTAGACTGTGTTGTCATGTTGAACACTATGTGGGTAGACTGTGTTGTCATGTTGAACACTATGTGGGTAGACTGTGTTGTCATGTTGAGCACTATGTGGGTAGACTGTGTTGTCATGTTGAGCACTATGTGGGTAGACTGTGTTGTCATGTTGAACACTATGTGGGTAGACTGTGTTGTCATGTTGAACACTATGTGGGTAGACTGTGTTGTCATGTTGAACACTATGTGGGTAGACTGTGTTGTC